GGCAAAATTATAAAAGCAGTAAAAAAAGCATTGGTAGTTTTATTTTCTTTTATTACTCGCATTATATTTATTTATTTACATGAATGTTTTTGGAATATAATCAAAACCATTAGTTAAACGTAACTGGTAAGTAATATTAGCAAGACCGGCAGTAATTTCAGATAATTCTAATCTCACCCACTTGTACGCATTCTCATCAAATATTTTGAACGCCTCGTATATCTCATCGAAATGCACATCACAAAGTTGTTTCGCTATGAGAAAAATCGACTTTTCATTTACAAAACAATATGCCACAATCGCAAAAAAAGTCGTTTCTTTTTCGGTCGGTATCATTATGATAGTTCCGGTTTTAATTAATGATTCTCCACGTTTTATCCACTTAAGCTGTATAACATTTTCATGAGTAGCTTTGTGCGGAAGCAAAAAGGCAGGGAAGTCATTCAGTTTTCGTGATGGTGGACCGAGATCGAACTGTGCATACCTATTTTTCTTGGTTATTAGCCGATAATTTAATCGCAGCTGATGTCTAATTGCGATAGTGTGATTAATATTTTTACGTGTAATAGCAGAACGAGCTGCCTGTTTCCCTTCTTGATGCTTACTTTCGAATCTCATCGCAGATACATTCCACAAAGGACCAATAAGCTTCATGATTCGAGGGTAATGAAGAAGATAATGGTGTTTAGGTTTTAGTCTATGAGGAAATAGGCGAGAATGTGAAGTTAAATACTCATAAATTTCGACTTTTAAAACATCAGGGGTATTAATGTGTAGTTTGGAACTCACACATATGTCTGTTATTCCTTTTAAACAGAAAAATAGCACCCAGACGTCATCTTTCGGTGGAATTAAGTGTGCAATCATAAGAACTAAATTTTTCATCAAGCATAATATTTCTGAAGCACTCATAATAATGCAAGAATTTTTCAAGTGTAAACGAGGAATTTCAACAGGTCTGTTTGAATCATTTATATCATAAGGAAAACCACGAATAATATCATTGAGCTGATTCAATGTAAAATATTTTTGAGCAATAAAATAATTCAAAATTAAAGCAATATCATATCTGAGAATTCCTTCTAGCAAGTCATGGTGTACATCAACCACTGGATGATCTATCACGTGATATTCAGGCAATTTATGAAATGCACATTCTTCTTTAATACCAGTTAATCTAGGCGCTTGTTTTTCAACGTGAGTAGCGTAATTGAGTCTATCTCTCATTAAACAATTTTCTTCTTCGAAAATGTTGTTAATTTCGTTGTAGTTAATCAAACAGAAACGACAAAAAAAATTTGAAGAAAAATGTTCCTGAAATCCTAAAATTGAATTTAGGCCTAAATTATCTCCAAGTATAAGCGTCAGCGAAAAAAAAATCTGTTTAGATTTCGTGAAATGACTGATAACAATACCTTCATTCTCTAAGTACTGTAATTCTTTAATTACTTTACTAAAAATCATATCGTTTCGAAGTGCATCTCTATCCAATGTATTAAAATTAGCAAAGAGAAATATGTTTTCTAATTTCGATCTAAATATGTCTGGCAAACAGGGAATAGAAAGATAAACTGCCCCACATTTATTAAGACCTTTATGGCTACCAAGAGGATTGTTAGGCTCGTAGTCATCAAAATAAAGAAATAGAGGAAGCATGAACTTCTTACCAAATATTTTTTTTTTTTCATTCCATAACGAACCCTGTATGAAATTCTTTAAAAAACAATTAGATGTATTTTCCAAATTCTTCAAATTAGCCAAGGTATCATCGTAAAGCCCAGGAATTTCAAAAAATTGCTTTAGTACGTGCCGAATAGGGATGAATTCACTTGTAATTGGTACTTTCTTATAAATCGTGACACCTTTCTGTTGGTAATATTCTTTTCGCTCACCAATTGGAATACTTTGTGGTAGTATAAATGTCCCTTTTCTTTCGAATACTTTAAATCGAGATCGCTCGGTTTTCACTTCAGCCATTAGTAAAACAATTTCGTCGATAATTGTGCTGGTATCTTGACAATTTACTTGACCATTCGGGGACAGGTTTATTCGATTATCGATTTTACTTTTTACATTTTGCAAGATCCTAGTTGTTAACCGGGTGAAATGATTAATTATCTCATCGATTTTGTTTCGTGGAATAGTAATAAGATCATATAATCGTGCTATAAACAGAATCAGTTCTTCTCGAATAAGATTGTCATTTTCGGCATCAAGAGTGTCTAGATTTGGAGAAAGTAATTGTTCATCATACATATCAAATAACGGAACAGAGGTAATTTGCCTCGCATCCTCATTGTCTGTACATTGCAAATTTAAATCGACTTGTGTTAGATCATCAGTTTCCATCAGGTTACGGGACGCTTCTTCACTAACATCTGACAGATCAGATGGATCAAAATTCTCTTCATTATTTTGAGTTAGCGAAACGTTCGAGGCACCTGAGGACTCTTTATGGTCTCTATAACGGTGGCGCGTGAACGATCGAAAAATTGAAAAAGTCCTTTGACACGAGTCCTCATAACACTGAAAAACTTTTTCTGTATCGTGAATGTCACGAATATGAGCGATTAAGGATGAATTTTTTTTTTTTTTATTTTTACATTTTTCCTTTTCCTATTACCATTGTTACCATGGTTTGATAGGCGCCCCTTCGTCTTAGCCTTTTAGCCTCTCCTACTATCCTCTCATTAGCCTCTCCTACTATCCTCTCATTATTTTTGCGGTAGCATGGGCCGACTTTCTGTACTGCGCCCATTTGGCGTGTACTGA